GCAACACCGCGCATGTTTGAATTTACAGATTATGATAGATAATAATTCTAAATTCTAATGAACAAATAACATAAATGATCACTTAATGATCCTCATATGCCTGAAATATGTAATTAAAAAAAAAAAGTTAATTTATGTGGTTTCCGGTTATATATTTGGAAAATGCTCTCCTTCCTAAAGTCTAAAATGTAAGTTTTGTAAAAAATATTGTATTTACCAAAATTCTACTTACAGAACGGTGCAAAATTGGTATCATTCATTGAAAAATTTAAACTTGGGACCAAGGTCAGGAGAAGGGTTAATCAAGGTATATATTATGTCTTTCATCTTTTAGGAAACGTTTAATACTGAATTTAATATTTTATTTATTTATTTATTTATTTATTTATTTATTTATTTATTTATTTATTTATTTATTTATTTATTTATTTATTTATTTATTTATTTATTTAAATTAAATTTAATAACAATGAATGTTTACAAATGTTTTGAAAAATTATAAATTAAGTTAGGCATCTAGATGCAAGCACCTATATATGCAGAAAGTAACGGCAGTAAAATTATAAATTATACATGTTTCATCAGTGCTTCGGCATGCTAATATACTAATATAAAATTTAAGTTACATTCATGATAGGAATAACGGGTGCTTGTCGGGCTAATGAGATGTATTTAATGAAAATTAGTAATATACAAGACCTTGGATCAACTTTTTATTAAGCATCAGACGATAAAAATCTATTGATTAAGGTTTTTCTTCATATATTACAATTAGGTATTTATTTCTTAAATTATTTAATAATATGCATAATGGAATCTTGTCCGCCTAATGAGATGCATTGCATGAAAATTAGTTATTTACAAGACCGATTAGCTTTTTTAATAAGACAAAAACCTCTCGAAAATTTTTAATTACCGATAATTTTTAAAAAATATGTAAAAAAACACATCAGTAGTCGTCCAACACTACTATTTTTAAACTATCGGAACGATAAATGCACTGCCCAAAGAATTGATATTAATAAATTTATCAAAATGAAAAAAGATGTTGCCGTTTTTTTGAAACCATTTTAAATTTTTATACATAGGTAGGCTACAAGCAACAATGGGTGCAAATATTTTTACATGAACAGATCTAAGGGAGTAAAGGGATCATAATTATTCTATATTTTTGTTGTATATTAGGATATAGCTATTTTAATAAAGCTACTTATCTATGTATTATAAATTAGGCTTGCTCTATAAATCTGTGTAAACAATTTTAATTATTTTAATTTTCAAACAATTCTTTCTATTTTAATAAAATACATGCACTAGATTGTAAACTTATCAATTGCATAAATACACGTTTTTTATTTTTCTTTTTTTTTTTTTATTCATAAAATCCCTAAAATACGCTTTAGCTAATGATTTTTTAACAATTATCCCAATTGATTTATACTTATGGATCATAAATGACTAGTGAGATTTGTGGCACTGTCTATTTTTTATTTATCGGTTTATTCTGTCGAATTTCTTCGTCCCTTGTTCTAATTTTTAAATATTGTATCTTTTATTAAGTGATAAATAATTATATTGTCATGAATTCCTAAGCCAACCCTGTATACGCACGCAATCGTGACCGAAGCAACGCTGACGGGTGGAAACAGCCGGACCGCTCTAGAATGTCTGCCGCCGACTCTCGAAACATCGGGAATGGCGGGGGAGTGCCGTTTAGTCATCTTCGCGAAGTCTCTGGCATTTTCCAGTAGCGGAGTTGGATTTATATAAATAGTCGACGATCAGCGCCGAGTTTATATTTAATATAGAACGTTGTATTGAATAGTTAAAGTGTAAGAAATAAATTAGAATTGTTAGTTAGTGTTCAAATATTATATAAATTAAATAGTACGTCTGAAATAAATTGTAAATAGTGTGTTTTTAAATAAATAAACTTTAAATAAATTAGACTTTCGTCACAATATGTAAAATTTAATACCTGTCTCTAAAAAAAATATGTACATAAATAGAGTCATCTGATTGATCAGAAGCAAAACAGGCAGAAATTTGATTTGATATAATTTTACATGGACATATTTAAAAGACCAAATATTTTTAGATAAATAGGCGAAGAAAGGACCCCAAATATTTTACATGAGCAGGCTTAAGAAGTAAAGGGGCCAATTATTATTGCATAAATTGCTCGAACAAGTTTGTAAACCCTAATCAAAAGGCGATATAGAATGGTTTTAAAAATCAAGGCTTATCAAAATCATCACATGGTTTGACCTAAGTAGTGCCAGTGCTTTACAAACCAGAACCACAGAAGAAAGAACAATACAGAAAAAAAAGTAATGGTCGGAACTTTGAAGTTGAAGGGATAGAAATATTTGACCTTGAGTTCCACCACAGAGATACTCTGAGAAAATGTAATTATTCAGAGTACACGCGAACGTAGCTATTCACTGAACCTACACTGCGAAAACTACATTTCTCTTTTACATAATTATGTGTCATATTTTATGAAAATTTGCATGAATGCATTTGAAACTATTCTCGGTTTAAGTAAATTATTTTTTGATTTGTAACACTTCCGACAGAGGTTTCAAAAATAAAAATTATAAAGTTTTAAACAATAGTTTATTTTACCCTGTCATAATGAACTATTAATATTGTGCCGCAAATCTCACTAGTCATTTATGATCCATAAGTATAAATCAATTGAGATAATTGTTAAAAAATCATTAGCTAAAGCGTATTTTAGGGATTTTATGAATAAAAAAAAAAAAATAAAAATAAAAAACGTGTATTTATGCAATTGATAAGTTTACAATCTAGTGCATGTATTTTATTAAAATAGAATTGTTTGAAAATTTAAATAATTAAAATTGTTTACACAGATTTATAGAGCAAACCTAATTTATAATACATAGATAAGTAGCTTTATTAAAATAGCTATATCCTAATATACAACAAAAATATAGAATAATTATATAAACGGTACTTATAAAAAATATTAAATAATGAGTAATTATTTTTCTTTTTTTTGCACCAAACAAACGTTTTCTCAACGTTGCTATCTTCAATCGCAGTCTGCTTTCTTGGAGTGTTTGATGATAACACATTACTCGTTTGAATTTGTGCTGTTACACAAGGTAGAGAAACAGATGGTTGACTATGCACTTGTTCAATAAATTCTAGTTCTGCTGAAGTTGAGGGTAGACACAAGTTGTCTTTGCCTTCTTCGCCATGAACAACAAATTCCTCTAAAAAAAGAAAGAGAAACCAAATTTATTTTTATCAGATCAACTAGTGTCAAGAAGGTGCATCATTTGTCAAAATTAAATGTTTGAGTCACACTTTTTAGCCAGATGAAATTTAAAATAATTTTATAAAATGTGAATATATTTCTGTGCCTACGAGCTAAACTGCACTGTCATTCTAGTCAACTTTTTAGTACAGCAGATTGAATGTTGTTAAATTATTAAATTTGAACTAGATATGCATTTGAACACCCATTTATTGTCACAATATTTATATTTTTTACTAACCTAACTACTAAAACTACTTTATTTTAATTTGCATAAGTTGTTGTATGTCGACATAGTGCAGTTTACCTCCGAAGTAGTTCTACAAAATGGAATGTATGGGTTGATATTCTAAGATTATTAGTACTATTATTTTTTAAACTGCTAAATGTAATGTAAAAAAATGACAAGATGAGTACATTTTACTATAAATGGTATTTATTTACCTTGCAAAACTGTGACTCTTTTCGTAGGTTTTGATTGGGCAACTACTGTTGGGAATGCATTTGCAAATAATCGTTTTCTTGTTCCTGACTGATAAACGAATTTATCCTGGAAGTGTAGTTCACAAATTTTGTAATTTATACTTAAGTGTTCAACACTCTTTCCCAATAAGTTCTCTCTATTTGCTGCCTTATGGCACAATTTACGTCTGAAAAATACATACAATCATTGTACTACCATGTTATGACAAGGTCAATTCCTATTTCACCCTCAAGGTTTCATACCTACTTCACTGGATGTTTCACAAGAGTGAACAATCCTTCTTTGCCACCTGTTCTTGAGGTACATCCACGATAAATACAAGTATATCCTCCTCCTCTTTGACGCGGCATTGTTTATAAACCTAATCTTAATACGTACAATAAAGTCTTAAATTAACAACTCCACAATTAAAAACATCAACAAAAACTAAAAATAAATCACTAAAAAACGTAAAAGTTATCAGAATATTCGCTAAAAACAACCAAAAATCCAAATCGACAAATAAAGACACGACAGGAAAAAATATTGATTTTCTAACAGCGACAGCAGTGACAGCTTTGTTGATCTGCTATAAAAGTATTCACTGTTGGACTTCGAACAAGTAACAAATCTACGGTTCAATTTTGACAATGCTCCACCATGAAGAAGGTGTGCGTTCGGTTGCTAGGTTCCTGTTTTGGCCCTATGTTTCTTTTCTGTATTGTTCTTTATCCTGTGCCAGAACTATCGGCTTTCGGTCTTTCGCTCCAAGTTAAATCATTTCTCGTTTTTTTTTATGCTACGAGTTTACCCTTGTGGGTCTCAGTCTCGATAAGGTGGAAACCACCATTTTAGCATCTCGAATTTTTATTTGAATTTGTCAAATATGCTTTTATATAATTTTAAAGCTAAAAAATTGTATTAGAAGTTCAGGGCTCTTGCGCGCCTCCATTAATGTAGCTTTGCGTCCCCTCGGTTTGGGAACCACTGCTGTAGAGAGATAATTAATCGGCAGTTTTTCTACTTTAATTTAAAAAATGTCTCTGTACAATTATTTTCAAAAAAGGTTTGCTTTGTATTTAGGTAATCACAAATATCTTAGATAGTCAAACCGTAATTTTTAAGATTCATTCAGCAAAATTACAATATTTACTTCTTAAGAATTTTTCGAAAATTATGAGAACTTCACAAGTATTTGATATTATTATTATAATTTAAACATGTATTTCAATTTTTTTTTGTTTTTAGAATTCTTCCATACTGACAATGGAACCGTCTCGAGCGAGAAAGTAACGACACACTTTGGATAAAGTTGCAAGCAATGTTACAGCGCTGAGCCTCGTTCCGGTTACCTCCCCCTCTCAAATAACAACGGAGAAACTTTAAAAAGAAAAAACCGTTTCCAGTTTTCCAGCCTTGTGGGAAGCGAGCCGGCTCTCTTTTTTTTGACGAAAAAAAAAACCGCCAGACGCGCTGCGCACGTGAAAAAACAAACGCTGGTGTTTTTGTGAAGCTTTAATATCAATGTACAAATTTGGTGGCACGTTTTGTTGTAAATTTACGCTGCAGATGGACTGTGACAGGGTCGCGATACAATAATAGCAACGACACGTTGCGATCCTGTCAGATTTTATCGGCTTATATAAATAATATAAATATATACAAATATGTTTATTTCGTTATTTATTTATTCGTTTTTACCTTATCTTTCATATCTTTTCATTGGGCGTTTCATGATGTGATGGTGGGTGGTGTTTTCTAGGTTTTCTTCACCTATAAGTCAAATGGCACCATCAATCATCTGTAAGTTGCCCCAGAGCGCCGTGGCAATTAATAATAACAGCCGACCCTACCCCGCACAAGCTCTGCTTCTGGGGTTAAAATTCACTCGTAAGGGGGAAATATGGAGATTATTAGGATTATTATTGATTTTAATAGCGTGTCCACCATAAAATAAAAATATATACCAATCTTTATCAGGCGATTAAAGAAAGAATATAAGTTTTTTTGAATTTACTGTTGACATTATGACTTTTACTAGCTGGTTTGGAAACATCTATCTAGTAAATACCATCTCCCAGTATGGGGGTGGCTACTAAATTTTTAAAAACATTTTTTAAATATCCACATGGTTAGGTGATATTTGGGAAATCATTCTTGCAATAATACTGTGATATAGGATAATTGGGAACCAAAAATTGAATTAAAAAAAAATGCATTAAAAATTACATAAAACTTACAACTCTTGAAACAACAACATAAAATAAGTAGATGTTTGTTGGACAACAAAAAAAGTATGTGGGCAACATAAAACATTTTAATTAAAACTATAAAATTTTAAATAATTATAAATTGGAAAAGTATAAAATTGCCGCCTTTCCAATCCAGGGGCAGACAGGACTTGAATGATACGTGATGGGTCGTCGATATTACTATACTTCCTTTTGTATTTTCTAGGCATTATTATTAAAAGGATATACCAACAAAATTAAGCTATTCAAGTCTTCACTAGAAAACTATGATTTATAATTTTTTCCAAAACGCAGAGAACAATTTGAAGAAATGAAGGATTTTGAGAAAGTTTCATATTTAACTCATATAAAATAAATTGACACAATTGCACACTAATAATTTGAAAGCAGTTTTAGCAAAAATCGAAAGAGAAATTTTAATGTTTACTCCACTACTTCTGTTTATGATACAAGCAAAGCAGACCTTCAATTGGAAATGTGTGATTTACAGTCGGATCCTGGATCCTTTTTAGGATCCTTTTTTCACTATCAGGAGAACGTTAGATTTAGGCCTTATAATTGGCTCAATCCTGAGAAGCATGTATCTTTGCGAAATATACTGGTTAGCGAAAACCGACGTGCTCAAAGTTCCAATTTTTTTTATGATAAAGTACAAGTATTTTATGATGCGGCCTCCACAGCATTATGGACAGACAAGGATCATGGTAATCTTAGAATATAAATTGTTTATTTACTTTATTTATATTCGAAGACAACGTTCATGAGAGTAGTCTCTGAATGGTCCAGACAGAGCCCGCGTATTCAAGTAACTGTCAAATATAGGTTTTGTAAATTTGGATAGGGCCAAAAAAAGAGATAATCACAAATTATCTCTTTATGATGAAAATTAAAGAGTTTGCTCGTTTACACACACGAAAAATACTACAATTCAATTGTAACGATTACACCTAGGTCTATATGAGGCGACACCACATTTAACAAACTATTTTCTATAGAATATTGGAAACACGGATTGTTCTTCCAATATGTATTATTGACACATTGGCTTACATTTAATAAGAGTAGCCAGTCACAACACCAACGCTTTATACCATTGAGATAGAACAAAGAGGATATGCTATGATGATACTAAGCCCTCTTTCACACGGAGATACTGTATGCCAGATACGCGTATCGGAGATACAGAATCGCAGTCGAAAAGTTGGGCTGCTGTATCGAATTCACGCATCTCTTCAATCAGTACTAAAATAGTCACAGTGGCGTGCGTAGGTTTGAATTATGGATCTAGAAAGTACATTATACTGAGGTATATAATACAGTGACTCACATAAAATGCACATCATATAGGCTTTTTTGTAAATGCTGTAGATTAATTTTGACTTTGCCATCTTCTATTGCCTTAAAAATGATAAAGAATGACATGCAAATGGACAAACACTTTGAATGTCTAAAATTACATTTTGTCCTAAAGACTGCAAAAATGGCAATTTCGAAAAATTGCTTAACAAAAAGTTGCTTATTTTTTTAATTTTTTATCCATATAGCCCGTTTCATGTTTTTATTTTCTACCAATTCAGTTTTGGGTTACTGGAATTTAGGCAAGTTGTATAAAATATTTTTTAACAAAAAAACATTTAAAAGAAGCGCATCGCGTAAACAGATTAATTTATGTAGGTTAGCGTAAATTCTAGTAACCTTAAAATGAATTGGTAGAAAAAATAAAAAAAGTTGAAAATTGATATATGGTAAAAAATATTTAACTTTTAGGCACAGGTTTTTTGCATTTTTTTACAAAAAAAAGTAAATTTTGCCATTTACAGAAGTCACGTGATTTTCCATTTGCATGTTATTGGTTATCATTTTTGAAGCAACAAAAAATGGCAAAGTCAAAATGTATCTACATCATTTAGAAAGAAAAATCCCATACGATGCGCACTTTATGTGTAACACTGTATATTAAGAAAAAGTAATCCCTGTGATATTTTCAATAGATAGGGTAGCTAATGAAATAATATTTCAATTAATACAGTCAAAACTCATAAATCAATTTGGAACCATGTTTTGTCCATATTTCTCGTACATCGAGCGCCCGACGCTTTTTTCACAATAATACTAGTATTTTCCATTTATTATTGTTTTAAGCTTATTTGAAAAATTATTTTTAACTTTTTAGTTTGATATGCTCTAAAAGCGTGTTTTTTAGTTTTTTAATAGTTATTAATATATTTTTTCTACGTTCATGCAAAAACCAAAAAATGTTTTATAGAACTGCAGTTGTATTATCCAAATCATAGTAGCCGTGATCGTGTACCTTTGTTTGAGGCATTTATTTACGTTTGTGTTCATAATTTGTAATGACATTTTTAACAAAATACATTTTTCTATTAATTTATTTATTAAATGATTGAAAATAACATAAAATATGCAATTGTTTTTAAAACGTAACACATAAAATGAAAATGGACTAAATATTTGGCGTTGATTTGAATATTTATGTTTGTCATGATCATAAAACGCTGTAGTAAAATGACAGATGAGTGCAATAAAGAACCAGTTTTTTCACTAAATATAGTTCAATAAAGTTTTGTTTTTTGCATGAACGTAGAAATACTATATTTATTGCATTTGCGGTATTCCTTTATAGTTAACTTATTGTTTTTAACTATATCCTGTTTAAATTTAAATGTAAAATTAAAAAAAATCGATATTAGATAAAAAAAACATCGATGTTAAATAAAAACATCGCATAAAAAAACATCGATAAAAACATCGATAATCGAAAGAGAAAAATCGATGTTCTTTTAACATCGATACATCGTGCGCATCCCGATGTCGCTCATACCGTGTGAATAGGCCCATTTGAATGTATGGTCAGCCTGAATCTCGGATACGCGTATCTCGCACACAGTATCCTCGTCTGAAAGAGGGCTAAGTGTCCGCACATTGCATTATACTTTTACGTCATGTGTCAAACTCGAGCTCCACTATAGTCAGTTTTGGTGAGAATAAATATCATTTTTTTAAAATAGCTTCATTTAAGGAAATAAAAACAATTTTGTCCACGACCACTTAATAATAAATCAATATTCTACCTCCTAACTAAAAGCATATGGTACCCATATATCACTGAGTGCTTTTGTAATTCTGGCACATTCCGGTAGATAACTAAAGATGGGCGATACTTTTCATAACGATATTTTCTAAATCGAAAAATAGAAAAATCTAAATATCGAAAAATCCTAGATAACATCAAAAATTGAAAAGTCGAAAAAACAACAGTTAGTTACCTATGTTTAATAAAAACTTTCCATTCTACACTTAACTTTTTTTTAATAAAGAAACCATAATGGTCGTGGACAAAGTATATAGTATTAGACTCTCAATTTATGGCCATTATTCACTCGGGTGACTTGCGCCCCTCGCCTACGCCTCGGGACGCAAACGTCACCCTGCGTGAATAATGGCTACCATAAATTGCTCGTTTAATAATATACTATTATTCCGTCAATCTTCAAATATAAAATTATTGATTTGAAATAAATCTAAGTCGCCATAGTCGTTTTTGCAGTGATGCGTGGTTTTTTATTGAGTTAGTTTGTATCATTTACCGTTTGTAATAATGTTGAGCTAAATCACTTGAGAAAGCTACGAAAAGAAGGGGTCCAAGCACTGATTCCTGGGGGGCTCCGCTTGTTGCCAATTTAATTGACGGGTATGATTGACAGATTTTTAACATAACATTTCTATTAGTGATATAATCCTTTATTCACACTTGTAGCTTTCCTCAAATAGCGAGATGTTCAAGTTTATGTAGTAGTCTTTTCTTGAGTACTTTATTGAAGGGTTTCGTGAAGTCTAAATATATTGCGTCCGTAGGTATTTTATTGTCTATGGCGCGAGTCCAATCATTTACACACGTTAAAAGGTTTTTTGTTGCGAATTTTCCTCTTAGGAAGCCATGCAATTCAAGGGGTATCACTTGAGACTTGGAAAAAAATAGTTATCTGCTCGACGATAATATTTTCCATAATCTTTGTTGTTCATCATTGGATTAAATCCATAAGTAGAAATTAAACAATTTAACCCTTTCGTAACGGGAGTTTTTTAGGCGACTGGCCCCACAAATGGGGGCTTTTTGTGCGTCTCCCATGTATGTGCTGTTTAATAATGTCATTCAATTTAATAATTCAGCTAACATCATACAATGGGCCATCAGTTTCCCGGCTGTTGTTTTTTTTTTGTGTAACGAGAGTGGATATGATGGCCACAAAGACAAAGTGAGTGCGATATGGACAATCCACTCGAGTTGTACAGCATATTTTTTCTACGACCCAGGAACGAAAATCTACCAATTTTAAAAATTATTTTACGTTATTAAGACAAAATAACTAATTTTAAAACAATTTATTACTTTTAA